GGTTCGAAATTTGAGTTTCGATATCTTCAGCTCTGGAAGGGTCTAGAGCCTCCATTTTGCACTCAGGTCTAAGTCTCATAGCCCTCTTATCAGAATCCAGAGTTTTGAGAAGATTGGAGAAACTTAATTTTTCGCCCAAAAAAAAAAACGTAAGGCGTACCACTGTCGTTTTTTTTTCGGGCCGAATTTTTGAGTTTCGATATCTCAGCTCTGGAAGGGGTAGAGCCTCCATTTTTGCACTCAGGTCTAAGTCTCATGGCCCTCTATCAGAATCCAGAGTTTTGGGAAGATTGGAGATAACTTAATTTTTCGCCCAAAAAAAAAAACGTAAGGGTACCACTGTTGTTTTTTTTTCGGGCCGAATTTTTGAGTTTCGATATCTCAGCTCTGGAAGGGGCTAGAGCCTCCATTTTTGCACTCAGGTCTAAGTCTCATAGCCCTCTATCAGAATCCAGAGTTTTGGGAAGATTGGAGAAACTTAATTTTTCGCCCAAAAAAAAAAAAACGTAAGGGGTACCACTGTCGTTTTTTTTTCGGGCCGAATTTTTTGAGTTTCGATATCTCAGCTCTGGAAGGGCTAGAGCCTCCATTTTTGCACTCAGGTCTAAGTCTCATGGCCCTCTATCAGAATCCAGAGTTTTGGGAAGATTGGAGAAACTTAATTTTTCGCCCAAAAAAAAAAAAGTAAGGGGTACCACTGTCGTTTTTTTTTCGGGCCGAATTTTTGAGTTTCGATATCTCAGCTCTGGAAGGGGCTAGAGCCTCCATTTTTGCACTCAGGTCTAAGTCTCATGGCCCTCTATCAGAATCCAGAGTTTTGGGAAGATTGGAGAAACTTAATTTTTCGCCCCAAAAAAAAAAAAACGTAAGGGGTACCACTGTCGTTTTTTTTCGGGCCGAATTTTTGAGTTTCGATATCTCAGCTCTGGAAGGGGCTAGAGCCTCCATTTTTGCACTCAGGTCTAAGTCTCATGGCCCTCTATCAGAATCCAGAGTTTCGGGAAGATTGGAGAAACTTAATTTTTCGCCCAAAAAAAAAAAACGTAAGGGGTACCACTGTCGTTTTTTTTTCGGGCCGAATTTTTGAGTTTCGATATCTCAGCTCTGGAAGGGGCTAGAGCCTCCATTTTTGCACTCAGGTCTAAGTCTCATGGCCCTCTATCAGAATCCAGAGTTTTGGGAAGATTGGAGAAACTTAATTTTTCGCCCAAAAAAAAAAAAAACGTAAGGGGTACCACTGTCGTTTTTTTTTCGGGCCGAATTTTTGAGTTTCGATATCTCAGCTCTGGAAGGGGCTAGAGCCTCCATTTTTGCACTCAGGTCTAAGTCTCATGGCCCTCTATCAGAATCCAGAGTTTTGGGAAGATTGGAGAAACTTAATTTTTCGCCCAAAAAAAAAAAACGTAAGGGGTACCACTGTCGTTTTTTTTTCGGGCCGAATTTTTGAGTTTCGATATCTCAGCTCTGGAAGGGGCTAGAGCCTCCATTTTTGCACTCAGGTCTAAGTCTCATGGCCCTCTATCAGAATCCAGAGTTTTGGGAAGATTGGAGAAACTTAATTTTTCGCCCAAAAAAAAAAAACGTAAGGGGTACCACTGTCGTTTTTTTTTTCGGGCCGAATTTTTGAGTTTCGATATCTCAGCTCTGGAAGGGGCTAGAGCCTCCATTTTTGCACTCAGGTCTAAGTCTCATGGCCCTCTATCAGAATCCAGAGTTTTGGAAGATTGGAGAAACTTAATTTTTCGCCCAAAAAAAAAAACGTAAGGGGTACCACTGTCGTTTTTTTTTCGGGCCGAATTTTTGAGTTTCGATATCTCAGCTCTGGAAGGGGCTAGAGCCTCCATTTTTGCACTCAGGTCTAAGTCTCATGGCCCTCTATCAGAATCCAGAGTTTTGGGAAGATTGGAGAAACTTAATTTTTCGCCCAAAAAAAAAAAAACGTAAGGGGTACCACTGTCGTTTTTTTTTCGGGCCGAATTTTTGAGTTTCGATATCTCAGCTCTGGAAGGGGCTAGAGCCTCCATTTTTGCACTCAGGTCTAAGTCTCATGGCCCTCTATCAGAATCCAGAGTTTTGGGAAGATTGGAGAAACTTAATTTTTCGCCCAAAAAAAAAAAACGTAAGGGGTACCACTGTCGTTTTTTTTTCGGGCCGAATTTTTGAGTTTCGATATCTCAGCTCTGGAAGGGGCTAGAGCCTCCATTTTTGCACTCAGGTCTAAGTCTCATGGCCCTCTATCAGAATCCAGAGTTTTGGGAAGATTGGAGAAACTTAATTTTTCGCCAAAAAAAAAAACGTAAGGGGTACCACTGTCGTTTTTTTTTTCGGGCCGAATTTTTGAGTTTCGATATCTCAGCTCTGGAAGGGGCTAGAGCCTCCATTTTTGCACTCAGGTCTAAGTCTCATGGCCCTCTATCAGAATCCAGAGTTTTGGGAAGATTGGAGAAACTTAATTTTTCGCCCAAAAAAAAAAAAACGTAAGGGGTACCACTGTCGTTTTTTTTTTCGGGCCGAATTTTTGAGTTTCGATATCTCAGCTCTGGAAGGGGCTAGAGCCTCCATTTTTGCACTCAGGTCTAAGTCTCATGGCCCTCTATCAGAATCCAGAGTTTTGGGAAGATTGGAGAAACTTAATTTTTCGCCCAAAAAAAAAAACGTAAGGGGTACCACTGTCGTTTTTTTTTTTCGGGCCGAATTTTTGAGTTTCGATATCTCAGCTCTGGAAGGGGCTAGAGCCTCCATTTTTGCACTCAGGTCTAAGTCTCATGGCCCTCTATCAGAATCCAGAGTTTTGGGAAGATTGGAGAAACTTAATTTTTCGCCCAAAAAAAAAACGTAAGGGGTACCACTGTCGTTTTTTTTTTCGGGCCGAATTTTTGAGTTTCGATATCTCAGCTCTGGAAGGGGCTAGAGCCTCCATTTTTGCACTCAGGTCTAAGTCTCATGGCCCTCTATCAGAATCCAGAGTTTTGGGAAGATTGGAGAAACTTAATTTTTCGCCCAAAAAAAAAAAAAACGTAAGGGGTACCACTGTCTTTTTTTTTTCGGGCCGAATTTTTGAGTTTCGATATCTCAGCTCTGGAAGGGGCTAGAGCCTCCATTTTTGCACTCAGGTCTAAGTCTCATGGCCCTCTATCAGAATCCAGAGTTTTGGGAAGATTGGAGAAACTTAATTTTTCGCCCAAAAAAAAAAAACGTAAGGGGTACCACTGTCGTTTTTTTTTTCGGTCCGAATTTTTGAGTTTCGATATCTCAGCTCTGGAAGGGGCTAGAGCCTCCATTTTTGCACTCAGGTCTAAGTCTCATGGCCCTCTATCAGAATCCAGAGTTTTGGGAAGATTGGAGAAACTTAATTTTTCGCCCAAAAAAAAAAAACGAAAGGGGTACCACTGTCGTTTTTTTTTCGGGCCGAATTTTTGAGTTTCTCTGATCTTCTTGAAACTCTGGATTCTTATAGAGGGCCATGGGACTTAGACCTGAGTGCAAAAATGGAGGCTCTAGACCCTTCCAGAGCTGAGATATGGACATCCCATGTAGCATTTATGCCATTATAAAAATAGTGGGTTTGTGGACCGTGGAATTATGGGATGGCGCTTGGTACTACAGACTCAGGGGGCCCCCTGAGTGCAGTAAAATAGTTTTTATCATGACAGGAACTTTAATTAAAATGTCTATCAAAAACACTACCCGAATCCCCATTCAATCCCCGCGTCCAATTGCAGCATATTGAATGAACTGCAGAAAAACTTTAAAAATATATAGTGGGTTATTGGACAAATAGTGGGCTCGTGGGACGGGGGTGTAGCCCGGGAGTGGTCCTGGGACATTTGGTAAATATAGTGAATTATTGGACAAATAGTGGGTTCGTGGGACGGGGGCGTGGCCCGGGAGTGGGCGGGGGGTGGTCCCATGACATTTGACAAATATAGTGGGTTATTGGACAAATAGTGGGTTTGTGGGACGGGGGCGTGTCCGGGAACCGGTCAGTGGGGACGTTTCGAGGGTGGCTCCACCAGAGGGGCTTTTGCGGAACTGCCTCGGGGGTCCCGAAACTTCGGGCTCCTCCCGTCGGCCCCCCGGGGGGGGGGGGTCGGGGCGTGTTATAAAGTTATAATGTTCAATTTTTTGTTCTAAAAAATGACTCTAGATTGATTGATTCGAAGATATTTAGTTTGTTACCAACAATGTGCAAAACAAAAACCTCAAAATTATAGTTGAAATGGTATACTGCTGGAATTTTTTTGACCTTGAGAAAAAGCTTAAAGTATAGACCATCAAATTTTATGTTTATTAATTTATTTCATGTTGGTGCATTTTTGGGAAGTACACCTGTTTTGACCTGATGTCCATTGGAATGGAGAAAAAAATCACAATGAAAGCAATTATATAAATTTTTTTTTTTTCATTTGTTTTAATTTATAGAAACCTCATGAGCTGGTAAAATGTACTCTTATATTTTTCAGAAACTTGAAACATAATTCAGGTCTGAGGGGGTTAAAGCAGAGTCTCAGCTGGTCACATGACAGAAACAGTGACAGAACTGGAAGCTTCAGTTGCTTCTTTTACACTTTCATTTCTCTTCACTTCCGGGTTTTATTTTTAAAACGTGGGCCAATTTTTTTCTACGGTATGGATAATTATTAAAATGATAAAAGCATAGACCAATTAGTTTTTCTATAGTATGGATTATTATAAATAAAAAAGTAAAACATTTCTGGTCACATGACTATGACGGTTTTAAGGGAAACTCGTGAGAAAGTGCACAGCAACACTCCAGAAGAAAAGTTATGATTCTTGTATGCATCTAAGAAAACCCCCAAAACATATCCCCTGCAAACAATTATACTAAACTGTCAACCACAGTAAACCACAAGCGTTCAGCTAACATCGTCAAAGTTTGAAACTTACATTCTGTCGTGTTTCTGAACCCATAACACCATGTAACATCACGGTAAAGTCTGTAATAGTCTTCTATATAAAATATTAAACAGCAGATATACCTGTGAGATTGTAACAGAGGCGGCTGTGATGATCCCACATATAAAACAGCTGCCATACAGCAGCAGCTCCAGCAACAGAGACCACGGCAGCGCCATAGCGTGTGTGTGAGTGCGGGCGCGCGCGCCACAACTCCGCACTGACTTTAACCAGCCGCGGCAGCGCGCATACACGCACTCATGTGTCCAAAACGCATCATGAGTTAACTACAGTCATGTGATTGCAACATCGGAGAAAAACATGAACGAAAACTCCATTCCCTTGCATAAGCACCAAAATAGGTCACATTTATGATAATCAACTTATAAAAATTAAGATACCTCCCCAATTTTGACTAGATTTGAGAGTTACAACATTACTATGATTAAATTAGGACCTTTTTACTTAATTGAACTACTTTAGTTTCTGTTAGATCAGTTCATATAGTACAAAGCCCTTACACACTTTAAATTATTTTTTCAACCAAAGTCAAATATAAAGCACTACGATTTGGGCAATGTTTTAAAAGTAGTTTTTTGCAACTTTGCGTTACTCCCTAAAAAAAAGTAACTAAGCGTATCAACATCGATAGCTGAACTCTACTATTCTTTAATATTGAGAACGATTTTTAGGATATCTGTATCGTTATATATCTTTACAGTTACTTTCTTCTGCTAAAAGGTTTAACACTTCAGCAATAAAAAATAAAAACTGAAACACAAATGTGATGTTTATCTAAAGTCCCTTTTGCTTGTATTAGTTTGGTTGAATTGGATCACTGAATGTCAGTAGCAAAAACATTGGTTAATAAAGTGAGATTAAATCCATAAAGTATGGATTAACATATTTAATTATTGCAATACTGAATGCGTTTTGTGCAAGTGAGATGAGTGAATACATCACATTTAGTCTAGAACTATACATATCCATCATGTTCACACACACACAACACCTCTGCACTTACTCATGATTTCTCACAATTTGTGGACAGGACAGGTGTCAGTCAATAAATGTGAAAAACTCAGATATTAATATTGTAAAATACTTTACAAGTTACTTGAAAAAATATCTGATTATGTAATTAATTCATTACCCTCAACCCTGTCTGGGATCATCTGTATTGACCGCAATAGAAGCCCATTCCACTGTGTATAGACAGACTTGTGCTGTCAGCTGTTTGAGCTTAGTATCGGGGTAAGTAACTGTCACGATTTCTTAAGTTTGAGAGCCGGGGTCTCCTTCCCCTCCCACAGTTGACCATATGAAATGTTTATGCTATTTAGTATACTCAGCCACATAGACATTCACCTAAAGGATTATTAGGAACACCGTACTAATACTGTGTTTGACCCCCTTTCACCTTCAGAACTGCCTTAATTCTATGTGGCATTGATTCAACAAGGTGCCGAAAGCATTCTTTAGAAATATTGGCCGATATTGATAGGATAGCATCTTGCAGTTGATGGAGATTTGTGGGATGCACATCCAGGGCACGAAGCTCCCGTTCCACCACATCCCAAAGATGCTCTATTGGGTTGAGATCTGGTGACTGTGGAGACCATTTTAGTACAGTCAACTCATTGTCATGTTCAATAAACCAATTTGAAATGATTGGAGCTTTGTGACATGGTGCATTATCCTGCTGGAAGTAGCCATCAGAGGATGTGTGCATGGTGGCCATAAAAGGATGGACATAGAAACAATGCTCAGGTAGGCCGTGGCATTTAAAAAATGACCAATTGGCACTAAGGCGCCTAAAGTGTGCCAAGAAAACATCCCCCACACCATTACACCACCACCACCAGCCTGCACAGTGGTAACAAGGCATGATGGATCCATGTTCTCATTCTGTTTACGCCAAATTCTGACTCTACCATCTGAAATTGAGACTCATCAGACCAGGCAACATTTTTCCAGTCTTCAACTGTCCACTTTGGGTGAGCTCTTGCAAATTGTAGCCTCTTTTTCCTATTTGTAGTGGAGATGAGTGGTACCCGGTGGGGTCTTCTGCTGTTGTAGCCCATCTGCCTCAAGGTTGTGTGTGTTGTGGCTTCACAAATGCTTTCCTGAATACCTCGGTTGTAACGAGTTGTTATTTCAGTCAAAGTTGCTCTTCTATCAGCTTGAATCAGTCGGCCCATTCTCCTCTGACCTCTAGCCTCAACAAGGCATTTTCGCCCACAGGACTGCCGCATACTGGATGATTTTCCCTTTTCACACCATCCTTTGTAAACCCTAGAAATGGTTTTGGGTGAAAATCCCAGTAACTGAGCAGATTGTGAAATACTCCAACAACCAACAACCATGCCATGCTCAAAGTTGCTTAAATCACCTTTCTTTCCCATTCTGACATTCAGTTTGGAGTTCAGGAGATTGTCTTGACCAGGACCACACCCCTAAATGCATTGAAGCAACTTCCATGTGATTGGTTGATTACATAATTGTATTAATGAGAACTTGAACGGGTGTTCCTGATAATCCTTCAGGTGAGTGTATACAGTATGTCATGATATAAGACTGCCACTAATTTGTAGCGTCGACAGACAGCAGTTGTTTTGACTCATTTTATTACAACACCACAAATACACAGAAACTCAACAACATTATATAACGAGTAACAAGTAATATAAAAAGGTCAAAGCCCAACCAGGCCTGCATTTTCCGATAAAATTAATGAGCCTTAAATGTAACAGCGAATAAAATGAGACTTTTTCCCCCCATAAATTCAGAGTGTTTTTTCAATGCTAACTGTATTAATGCTTGACTAAAGTATAACGTTTAAACAAATAATACTTTTGAGCATCATGATGACAATAATAAAACACTTACTCAGTGTTGTCGATCTTTACAAGCATCATGTTGTACAGGTTCTATGCCACTGACTCAAATCGTTAAACACTCTTCCACACTTATGATATCACTCTGTGCACAAATGATGTGTTTTTCATGTGATAAACTCTATTTAACCCATGCGGTAAGTGTCTGTAGGGCAGCCGGGCAGCCGGAAGCTGTCAGGCACTGGGCTGTCTAATTTACAGATGATCTTGTAGATGGCCTTCTTCCAGCACGGATCGGTATCCCGACCACTCTGTATGGCGGAGAAAAACTCCCTCAGGGCAATCTCAGATATCTCCACGAACCTCTCAGGAACCTGGAAAGCAGAAATGACGCTTAAACAGGTAACTGAACTGTTTCACTGTGCACATGCATTGCACACACTGACCTGGTAATCATTGCTCTTATTGTAGTGCATGTTGAGAATGCGGTAAAGCTCGGTGTCTCTGCCCAGGCGGAGCGATCGTTCCCTGGCAGATGTAGGCCCCTCTCTGGCCGCCTGGCGGGCAAAGCGCTCCATCTGGATGTAGAAGAACTCCCGGAAGTTACTGAACCACTTAATCAGCTGGGAAGTGACACAGCGATTGAACTGTGCGAGAGGGGAAAAAAAGCATTTCAAAAAGAGGCTACATAATGAATGTAGGTCAGCATTACACATTTTTGGAGACATTCTGTGATGTTTAATCCCATATAGACAGCTTTATGATTTCGTTGAAACATGGACTAAATATAGGGACATTTTCTGACTGCTCTAATTGATTCAAACCATGTCAGACTGCTGTATATAGGTCAGTGTAACTTTATTCAATAAGTCATTAGCCCATATCATTTGTGCAAGATATAAGCTACTCTATTGTGTGTTTAGGATTATGTGAATGATGCTCACTTTGACATCAGGGAAATATGTCTTGAGAGTGCTGGAGCTGGGGTAGCGTGCGTAGAAGAACATGAGTTTGGCTTTCTTCAGGTGGCACGGAGAGAGCCCTTCCTGAGAGTGTCGATGGTTAAGGAATGTTTGAGAGCAGCACAAATACATTTTTATAGTTGTGTTGTCAATCATTTTGGGTCTGAAATCATTTGAAAATAGTGTAAAATGTGAATTTTCAGCATCATTACTGCAGTCTTCAGTGTCACATGATCCTTCAGAAATTTATTATCATCAATGTTGAAAACAAATGTTTTTATTAGCGCGATATCGCGATTAATCGCATCCAAAATAAAAGTTTGTGTTTACATAATATATGTGGGTGCACTGTGTATAATTATTTTATGTATATAAAAACACACACACATGCTTGTATATATTTATGAAATATTTTCATGCATATACTGTATATAGATTTATATATAATTTATATTATATATAAATATTTTTTTCTTAAATATACATTGCATGTGTGTGTATTTATTAGGGCTGTCAAACAATTAATCGCGATTAATCGCATCCAAAATAAAAGTTTTGTGTTTACATAATATATGTGGGTGCACTGTGTGTAATTATTTTATATACTGTATATAAAAATACACACACATGCTTGTATATATTTATGAAATATTTTCATGCATATCCTGTATATAGATTTATATATAATTTATATTATATATAAATATAAATATTTTATATATAAATAATATTTTTTTTCTTAAATATACATTGCATGTGTGTGTATTTATTAGGGCTGTCAAACAATTAATCGCGATTAATCGCATCCAAAATAAAAGTTTGTGTTTACATAATATATGTGGGTGCACTGTGTATAATTATTTTATATATATAAATACACACACATGCTTGTATATATTTAAGAAATATTTTCATGTATATATTGTATATAGATTTATATATAATTTATATTATATATATAAATATTTTATAATAAATATACATGCATGTGTGTGTATTTATATATATATATACAAAATAATTATACACAGTGCACCCACATATATTATGTAAACACAAACTTTTATTTTGGATGCGATTAATCGTGATTATTTTAAAAATAGTTTTTATTAAAAAAATTACATAATAAAGGTCTTTAGTGTCAATTTTGAACATTTTTACATTTATAAAGGTGTTCATCTCTTTTTAAAACTGACCCCAAACTTATAGATATATATTTCTTTAAAATCAAAGGATATTGATCCAGCGGTGAGATAGAGAGCTGCATCTCCTCCATCCCCCCCTCCTGCTCCGCCTCCCCTCATCCCTCCGTCTCTCGCTCTATCCGACGGAGAGGGCTCGAGCTGCCCCAACAACGGGAGGGGTGGGAACGCAGAGTTGTGTGAACGAAAGTCCATGAAAGACTCTGACAGGCAGTCCTT